CAGTCAAAGAATGGCACCAAATTTTTGGTGCCTAGATCGATGAGGAAATTTAAAATGGTTCCTGACCTGATCCATTTACCTTTTTTCTTCTGTCACGAGTCTCTCGTTTCCTAAGACTTTCTTGATGCGTTGCAGTCAAAGAATGGCACCAAATTTTTGGTGCCTAGATCGATGAGGAAATTTAAAATAGTCCCTGACGTGATCCATGTACCTTCTCCTGTTGTCCTAAGTCTCTTATATTCCAAAACTTTCTTGATGCGTTGCAGTCAAAGAATGGCACCAAATTTTTGGTGCCTAGATCGATGAGGAAATTTAAAATGGTTCCTGACATGGTCCATTTACCTTTTTTCTTCTGTCACGAGTCTCTCGTTTCCTAAGACTTTCTTGATGCGTTGCAGTCAAAGAATGGCACCAAATTTTTGGTGCCTAGATCGATGAGGAAATTTAAAATAGTCCCTGACGTGATCCATGTACCTTCTCCTGTTGTCCTAAGTCTCTTATATTCCAAAATTTTCTTGATGCGTTGCAGTCAAAGAATGGCACCAAATTTTTGGTGCCTAGATCGATAAGAATATTTTAAATGGTCCCTGACGTGGTGCATTTACCTTTTCCTTGTGTCTTGACTCTCTTGTGTTCCAAGACTTTCTTGGTGCATTGCAGTCGAAGATTGGCACCCAATTTTTGGTCCCTAGATCGATGAGAAAATTTAAAATGGTCCCTGACGTGTTGCATTTATCTTTTCCTACTGTCCCGAGTCTCTTGTATTCCAAGACTTTCTTGGTATTCCAGACAAAGGATGTCACCCAATTTTTGGTCCCTAGATCGATGAGAAAATTTAAAATGGTTCCTGACGTGGTGCATTTACCTTTTTCCTTCTGTCTCGAGTCTTTTACACTCCCATACTTTCTTGATACGTTTTATTTGAGAAATGTCACGAAATTTTTGTTGCGTTTATCGACGAGAAAAATCGAAATGGTCCCTGTTTTTCTCCATTTCCAGTCTTTACTCCGAATGTCAGAAAACTTTCGTCGCGTCGACCGTCGTGGAAGTTATTTGGAAATGGTACCCGACATATCCCTCCATCCTTTGTATTTCATATCGATTGCCAAGTACTTCAGACGTACTTCCGTTTGCGCGTTGTCACCGGAAGATGTCGCGACGTCTTTGCTCCAGTTTCTGGCGTGCAAAGTGTCCAAAATGGACCTCGATACGTTTCGTTTGCCTTTTTCCTTTGTACCAGGTCTCGAGTACTTTAAAGCTGTACGCACTACCGGCGAAAGATGTCGCGAGATCTTTGCTCTAGCAATTGTCGCGTAAAGTGTTCTAAATGGACCTCGATGTGTTCCGTTTGCCTTCCTCCTCTGTCTCGATTCTCGCGTACTCCAAGTCTCCTTCACCTTCCTCGCGTTTCAGCTGAAAGACGTCGCCAAGTATTTGTCCCTGCAATCATTGTGCAAAGCATTCGAAATGGACGGATTTGATACGTACCATTTACCTTTTCCTCCATTCCCGATTCTAACCTTTCGTATTCTAACGACACTCGCTGAAGTTATGCACGGATCCCGACACGTTCTTTCGATTTTCTTCCTCGAGGTACACAGGTGTATATATATAGAATATCGCCGGAGACGTGGAATACATAAAGAAACAGCGAGATATTTTCGTAAGTGTTACGAACGAGCATCGTTTCCATCTGCACGCTCGATCTCGCTAGCCGTTTCTATAAAAATTCAAATTTCGTCCCATATCCGAGACGGGTTGCGTAAGAAGCTCGTTCCGAGCCAGTTTCGCGACAGAAAACTTTCGTTTTCGATTGATAAGCGACTCGGGAAAAATAGAGATCGAAATTGAGCGAGTTATCCCGACGGACAGGAGGTTTTCTATGGTGTGCCATGGGTGAAAGGGAATGAAAATAAGCGGATTCGTACCTTCTGGAGACGAGAACAGTATCTCGGAGCGCGATGCCGTTTCGCGTTATCGAGCTCCTCCTTTTTCTCCGACTTTTTCTCTTTTTCTCCGTTTTCTCCCCATCCAACGGATCGTTCGTTCGCTATCGAAACTTTCTATACGAGCATGTATATTTCACGACCGGGTGGGTGTCGATACTCCACCAAGTTTTCTTATCTCGCGGGATGGACTCGGGAAATATTCCGCGCTTCCCTTTCCCCCATATCTCCCAACTTATTCTCCTTTCATCATCCCTTAACGATCCTCCCATTTATTCCTCGCCATCGCCGGAGAAGATCCAACAAACACCTTCCTACGTAGCGTCGAAAGAAGCGTCAACCATTCGAAATGACTGGTTTTCCACTTTTTATTCCTGCTCTCGACAAAAACGCATAAACGCTTCCGATAAAACTGCACGTCGACTTTTACCGAGACAGAAACGCAATTTTATGTACCCGTTCATTTTCGTCCTGCTCGCAGATAAAATAATCGTTTGCGAATTTTTGTGTATTCCGCGTACGATTAAATTTGCATATTCCACGCTTAACCGAGGAACACAGGAAACGGAGAATTAAGGAAGAGTTTTAATCAAGCGTGGAATTATAATTATAAATCGGACGTTGACGAGGTGAATTCTTACCTGTAGCAGTCGTTACTGGGATTGTTAGCTGTCCTCGGTAAATGTAAATACGCGTTATAGGTCATAGTTCTCTCGTTAAAATATCGCGCCATCCGTCGCAGCAAAGAAATCACTCGGTCTGCGAAGCTCGTTCGAAGCTCGTTCCTCCTCGCTTCCGGCTACGAAATTGATGTTTGCATACCACTCTTCGGGGTTCAATCGTCCCCACGTGGAAGTGATTTTCAATGGCGCAACGACAACGACGACGACGACGACGACGATGATAACGACGACGACGACGATGACGACGATGACGACGACGATGAGGGCGACGAGAACAACCAGAACGAGGAGGACGACGACGAGGACAACAAGGACAACAAGAACGACGAGGACAATGAAAACGAAGAGAACGACGAGGACAACGAAGACGAGGAGGATAATGAGGACAATGAGAACGAGGAGGACGACGAGGACAACCAGGACGAAGAAGACGAGGAGGACGACGAGGACAACAAGGACAATGAAAATGGAGAGAACGACGAGGACAACGAAGACGAGGAGGATGACGAGGACAATGAAAATGAGGAGGACGACGAGGACAACCAGGACGAAGAAGACGAGGAGGACGACAAGGACAACAAGGACAACAAGGACAACGAGAACGATGAGAACGAGGTGAACGACGAGGACAACCAGGACGAATAAGACAACAAGGACACCAAGGATGACGATAACGACGAGGACGACGAAAACAATGAAGACGACGAGAACAACGAGGACAAGGAGGACGAAGATGATAACGAGAACGACGAGGACAAGGATGACGTGGACGACAAAGATTACGAGGACGACGAGAAGAACAAGGACAACGAAGACAAGGATGACGACGAGAACGACGAGGACAACCAGGACGAAGAGGACGACGAGGACGATGACAACGAGGATAACGATGGGAAGCAAGCTAAGAAGCAAAAGCGACGATGGCGCGTACAACACGATTGGATTTTCTTCCCGCAAAGAGGAAGATCCTGGAAGAAAAAGCTCGCGTGACCTCTCGTATGTCGAGGCGTTTGCACGGATCGGGCAGCGAGATCGCGAGCTTTGGGAGCGAGCCTATCGACCGGCCACCCACGCACCCTAGCCTCGCCAGCAGCACCGATAAATTATCCCGCGTCGTAACATTGTCCCGTAACTCTGTACCCGGGGCCCGAAACGAGGTGGCAAGAAGCCGGTTGCCGTTAATAATTGGACGAATCCGCGTATGACGGTCGTTGGCGGGATTTTATGGGAAGTTTTATTTTTCGATATATCGAGTCGCGTCGAGGTTCATTCGGAAATTCCATTAGCCGGCAAATGGGCTGGATAAAACGAAAGATGCCGTTTGAGATATAAGGGTCATAAATCTTGACGCGTGAAAAGACGTTTTTCGTGGAACGTGTCGCTGAATGGCCGGCACGCGATCATCGCGATCCGCCGAGGAAGCTTTCGCGACGCGCGATCATCGCGTAAAACGACGGCGTAAATCAACACAGGAATCGACCCAGATGCGAGAGCTTTCTTCGAAAGCGTGGCCAACGCTCGAACAGCGCCGGTTGATTTATGTGGCGTGAAACGTGTTGACGTACGTTCGCGCGACGGCCGTGAACGCGAATCAATGTTTTGAGACTAAACGATTCGCCGCGAGCGTGCCCGTTTCCATCGCGTTTCTGCCCGCCGATCGCCAGCGTGATTCGCTTAAAATGATAATGAGCAACGGCCACGCCGAGAAATATCACTTTGGATGGCCGCTCGTGGCCGTTGGAGCGAGACCGCTTTGCATTCGCTAGCGCTCAGCGCCTCTGCCTTCGTATCCAAACGATCGAATTTCGATCGCAGCTCCTCGGTTGCATCGAGCTTTTCACGATCGGCTGCGACCCGACCCGAACTCTGCCGATAACGTTCGCGATAACGTTCCCTTGTCGATATCGCGAGCGGAACGGGAAGTCGCGAAAGCATCCGCGTCTACGCAGCTTTTCGTCGGAGCCCGATTCCGCTCGGTACCACAGCGAGCGTCCGCTCAGGCCGGCGCGTGTGTCGCGGCTGAAATACGAGACTCGATAAAACCGCATCCGTCCGCTGGAACAAAAAGCACCGAGGGACCGTGGTCGGATCTCCCCTTGGCCGGCGAATCGGTGTCAACGAGACAAATTGGCCGAAAAAACGACCGAGAAAGCCCCGAAAGTCAGCCCGATGACCCGGTATGCGAAACCAGAATTCGGTAACAAGCCGCCTCCAGCCCTGTCCGTCCCTCCACTCTTTCTCCTCGCCAGCAATCACCGCGTTTTTCTCCTATCGACCGGCTGCACCTGCTACCGATTGAATTACGTCCGCGCGATGTACCTGCGCGTTTGCAGGTTTTGCCAGCGTCCGCCGCGGACTGTCTCCGCGCCTATGGTCGCCGAACGCGGCGAAAAATGGCACGAATTTTGGGACGGAAAGTTGGGAAAGATCAGCACGAGATTAGACGACTGATTTTTTCTCGAGATTTCGAAGGAGACGCGAAAATCCGAAGCTTTTCGCGAAAAAGGAAGCCCTGGAGCGGCTAAGAGGGTGTAATCTCGCGAAATGCTCATTCATCGGATATCGTTCGTTATTAAGAACATTTTAGACTCTTAATACGCTGTACTGCAGAACATGCGAGTTATACGACCATTGTGAAATCGCATAAGCAGCGATAGCGGTGGGAAAAAGCATGATGTATTTATAACTAAACGGATGTGGCTTGACAATGCTAATTATCCGGTCTCGATTTTGGGACTAGACTCACCGACCACGGGAAGATCCTGAGAAACCCACGTTTCCAGATGTCCAGAACAGAGGCTCGTCGGGCTTAAGCCTGTATCGCACGATTCCAATCTTCCCGATTCGTTTAATCGCGTTGCTTCGTCTCCCGTTTGCCTTCTCCATTTTATCGTTTTATCGTATTTACGCTGCTCGTTTATTTCCGTTCTGAATTTATATACAATCCCAATTTGCTTGTTTACGCCATTACTGTTTTATCCGAGTGCACCGCGAGCGGAAATCGATGGGAATCGGCATGCACGAAGAGATTGCAGGAATTTGCGCGCGGATTTCCCGCGTTGGCGCAGCGGTGCTGCGCGGCGATTCGCGTCGGGCTGGAAATCCTGTTAAATCAATACCCTAATTGACCGAAGCGACTCGTGTGTAAACGCGCGTGAACACGTACGCAGGCCGTTTCGCGTAATATTCGAGCAAGGCTGTTCACCGCGTGGTAACATGGCCAGCTGGCCGAGATCGGGCATTACGCGATATCTCGCGGTTTTACTGCCGTGCCGTTTCGTTTATTTGCATAATAGTCGCTGATGACCCGTCGTAAAGACGCGGCGCGGACGCACAGACCTCGCCCTCTTTCGTCCGCTCCTGCGTGTTCCGTTCTTCGTGACTTCCACGTCCATTCACGCTCCTGGGGCTTTTTCTCAAGCGTTTCCAATAGGAAGCTCGCGTGCTCATCGAGCACCCTTTGCCTGCAACTGCTATACCAATTGCATCTGCTATTTACCATTCGCTAAACGCTCGCCTGGACGTAAAATAATTTTATTCCCCTCTAACGATGTTCCTCGGCTGCGCCGCAAGAAGCACCCTATATCAAAGCCCACGGACAGAAAGTCGATGGCTGCTCTTGCGGACGCTCGCTGCGTCGCATTTGTCACGGGCAACGTTTATTAGCCGAGGATCGATTTAATTGAATCTCCACCCGACTCCACCTACCACGAGACACGGCAGACCCACGGGCGATCCATCGATTTTACTCGCCACTGCATACTGACCTCCTCCTAGCGATATTACGCCGCATTGAATTCAGGTTAGCACGCCGGGGCACTCGTAACACGCGGACGCAAAAATTATGAATCCCGTGAAAGGTTTCTAGTACAAAGGCACGGCTGAACGGTCCAGTGCAATCGCACATTTCATTAAACCGTTACAGTGTGACGAGTTCTTTCGCCCGGCAACGTAGAAAGGTACGCGGACGCGATTGTCGCGCCATTCCATTTCGTTACAGTGACGCGACATTAGGAAAAATCGGACATTCGCGCGCCCGCCTCCCCTCGGGAATAAACTGCAAATTTCTGCACATTCTCTCTCTCTTTCTCTCTCGTCTCTTCATTGAGACATTGAATCTTTTCACCCCAAAGTACCAAAAATCCTCAGAGGCATCGAAGCTTTAAATTTAGGAAATTTATTTTGGCACGAAATAAAACGGAAGATTGTCTAAATCTCGAAGAGACTTCAGAGGCTTCAGAGGCTACAGAAATTTTAATTTTCTTAAAATTCAAATACCAAGTTATTCCAGTTGAAATTCGTCTTTTTATATATAAAATTTTTCGTCGTTTTGTCGTTTTGTTCTTAGGAATGGAGCGAATTCGCGAAGGTAGGAAAGCGTTGGAAAAATGTAAAATTGAAAATGGAACTCGACGACGATGAAAGGCGAAGCGAAGTGGAAGAGGCGAAGCCTGGAATCGCAGGTGGTTTCGCTCGATTTCCCCCATCGAGAGCGAAAATGTGACCTCGGGATCGTACTTTGGCAGCGCACCAAGGCACGCGAGGAACGTGCGGCATTAGGCATGCTTATTAGTAACAGAAACCGAAGGGGAGGCGACAGAGGGGCCGGTAAACGTATCTGCACGCGCGCACCTGTGTGCAGCGGCGCATCGGAAATCGCCGGGGCCGTGGAACAGGCAATAACGCGAGTCATACAGGTGTAACCCGGCCCGTGGATAACTGGACGCACACGTGCCCGCGTCCCGATGGGATTAGAGGAGAGTTTTGCAACTGTGCCACCGATGGCCGCTTGCCTCGTGCAATTTTCACGATTCTCCAAGATTAACCTTGCGCGCGTAACAATGCCCCGTAGCCGGTGCCGATCGTTTCCTCGTTGATAGAATTATATCGTCTACGTCGCGTCTCGCGTTTCCACGAAACGAAAAATTTGGTCGCGAGTTTGGAATCCGAGGTGGAAAAAGGCAAGAAAGGGAGAAAGAAGGGAAAAGGTAGGGTGGATCGATATTCCACGGATATTAAGCTGCTCTGCGTGATGGCTAACACGGACGACACGGAACGAAGGAACGCGCATACGTATTTCCGTGTGACGGAACGTTTACGTGGATTTTAAGTATGACGTTTCTGATTTCAGGGATCAGGATGCGGTGGATCGGTTACGTGGCCACGATTCTCTGGTGGTCGGGCATCGCCAGGTCCCTCAGCACGCTGAATCGAGGTCACAGTCAGTAATACTCCTTTTGGTGGTTTAAACGCGAGTATTTCAGTAGCCGCCGCGTTCCTTTCCTCGTGTCTCCTCGAGCTGACTTTCTTGGCTGGACCACTTCCTCGCCGTCCAGACTCTCTCGCGTGCTTTCGAACCAGAACTGGCCATTAATCGGATTCCCTTCGTTTTAATGCTATGCCCGACGTCCCGCGTATTGAGATCGTTCTCTCCGGACTGGCTCTTCCGCTTCCAGGTAGCAACAGTTTCCATCGAGAGTACGCCGTGCCGTTACACCGACAGTTATCTCCTCTTTGCACGGATGAAAAAGTGGCCAGTTCTGGTTCACCCTTCTGGCGAACCTTCTTCTACCGTTCCCTCTCGCCCCGTCGCCATTTCTCCACCTGTTCCGAGCGTTTCTCTTTCTACCACGAGATCCCTCTGAAACGTGTAACGCCTAATTGGACAGGGAACTCGGTCAAGGTGCAGTCGGTCGCGTGCTCGGCCGTGGGAAAAGAAAAGCGAACAAAGGGGAGACTTTCTTCCCTGTCCGAACCGCCTCGAGGTCGGGCAGGCTGGAAAAGCTTCTCTTTCTCGTTAACCCCGTGGTACACTGGAAAATTTACTTCCCGTTTGCACTGGCACTAACGATAATTGCGCTGGAAAATTGATGTACCGTATGCCATACCGCTTAAGCTGTCTATAGAAGCATGATAAATTCAAAGTATTAACCTCGCCGACTTTTCTCATCCGTTCGCGATATTAATAGTAAATTAATATCTTCGGCTAACCTCGCGATGTAACATAATATTCCTATCCCGTTTACCAACTGCATTATGTACACAGTCATAACGAACGCCGCGTAATTACCCCGTCCAGTCCCACTCCCCGACCGCGTTTCTAAACAACGCGCTTTAATATCCCTCTTTAATTACTCCCGGGAACAATGCGGAAAATCGTGCGCGAGCAGCAGAAGAGAGTGATCCTTTATTAACCAGCCGCGGAACGGTAGACCGATGTTCCGTTTAATATTTCCCGAAGACAACAGAGTCGCGCCGGGTCCTCGCTCCGTTTCGCCACTCCGACCACGACCACGACCACGACGTCGACGACGACGACGACGACGACGAAGATGACGACGACTTTGCGGAAACGTCGCGGGATTGGCCCCCGGCGTCCTCCGAGCCTCAGCCGTTCCCGCCAGTCCTCGCTGTCGGCCATTGTTCCGCTCCCCCGTGAAGATGAACGAACGTCGGCCGCCGATAAAGTTTTTCTTTAATTAACGCCGGCTCGGTATCGGAGAAAGCGAGACCGTGAAGGTAGAGAGACCGCGAACCGCGGCAATTTACGTCGGTTTACGCGCTCTTACTGTCTCGGTTAACGACCTGGCCCAGGTCTACGTACTCCCGTACACTTGGACGATCCATCGCCCGGTTTTTCCTTTTTCTCCCTCCTTTTTTTCCCTCCTTTTCGCGCGTGTCCCCAGCTTCACGCGGCCTCGAGCACTCCGCGAGGATCACGGCGCACTTTCACCACGTTCGGAAGATTCTATCGAAGGTTGTGGCACGTTAACGACGCTCCAATTACCCAACTCGATTCTCCGTCTCCTTCTCTTTTCCCAGTCTTTCTATCTTTCATCGAGCCCCCCTTCCCGCCGCCGTCCCCCGCTTTTCTTTTTCCCAACGACACCCCGGGCCCCGTTAATTAGCGGACTCGTCATCCGAAAGCCGATGGAAGAATCGTCGCGGAGCTATCGATCCAGGATTATTTCCGCGAACGAGGCGAACGATTATTCCTCGAACGACGCGACCTCGCGGGTCCCAGGATGCCTCTGTTAATTACGGAGCCGCGTCGATACTCTTTAAACGAGGGCTTATCACGCACCGCGCGGTAACGGGATATGGGTCAGCTTGGGAATCGTTGGAAACTCCGGTGTTCTCTATTCCAGATGGAAGAACAAACGTCGATTGAATTCGCGAACGATATTCGATAACATCGCGTTCGTTACGGGACATTAAAATCGATCATAGTCTCAATGTAAACACTGCTATTAGCGGGCTGACTTAATTGTGTGTTTACTGGCCTACTTCCAGCCTTCGCGTATCCGCGTTCCGAGAAACGCGGTGTACAGAGAGATCAATCATAGAAGCTATCGAATCGACGTTATTATTCCCGCAGCTCGCGGGAACCGCGTTCCTTCTTCCAGTTGAATCCTCGACATCCTTCGTCCCTTTGCGCCGCGTTTCCATGAAACGCGATTCGCTAACGCGCGACACGTGGGTCGATAACGGTGACAGGATGCGACGGAAGCTTCCACGGTACCTCGAAGCTTAGCTCCCTTAAACTAGCTTTAGCCGCTTTGAATCGCTTGGCAACCCTCCGTGGAAGGGTCCCCCCGAGGCAAAAGCCCGGAAAGACCCGACCGACATCAAAGACGTCATCGTCTGCTACGCGCAGGTTACAAAATCACCCCGAAACCCTGTCGAGTCCCCGGGCCAGAGTCCAAGGAGGGTACCTGCATGTTCGTGTGGGAGTGCATCAAGTCGGAGGGCACGCACGTGGGCGTGTGCGTGGACACGTTCATGTTCGGCAGCTGCTGCGTGCACAACACGACGACGAACGCGATCACCGCGTCCAATCTTCATCACCATCATCACCACCATCATCACTACCATCAACACGCCTCTTCCTCTTCATCGGACCCGCTGAGGCCGACCCTGGCGGAGGCGCTGGGCAACGAGTCGACCAGGCCCACGCTGACCTCCCTCTCCAGCTTCCTCGTCACGGACTCGAGCACCGCCAGGCCGAGTCACCATCCATCCGAGACGCTCGAGTCTTCCGGAGGGTCCAGCAGACCGCACAAACCGCTGTCGGCCGGTTCCGCTAGGCCACTGCAAAAAAGACCGCACGCGAAACCCACGTCTGATCACAAGGACAGAATCCAAACATCCGTGCTGCCGGTCTCGTCGAATTTCTGGGAGAAGGGCTCCCAGAGCACGAAGAGACCAAGCTCGGAGTCTTTGGAGAAGGGGTCTCAGAGCACCAAGAGACCAGGATCCACCGACCATTGGGAGAAGGGATCTCAGAGCACCAAGAGACCCGGATCCACCGACCACTGGGAGAAAGGGTCTCAAAGCACCAAGAGACCAGGGTTCTCCGAGCACTGGGAGAAAGGAACTCATAGCACCAAAAGACCAGGATTTTCCGAACAGTGGGATAAGGGGTCTCAGAGTACCAAGAGACCAGGATCTTCCGAGCTCTGGGACAAGGGGTCTCAAAGTACCAAGAGACCAGGATCTTCCGAGCACTGGGATAAGGGGTCTCAGAGTACCAAGAGACCAGGATCGTCCGAGCTCTGGGAGAAGGGATCCCAAAGCACCAAAAGACCAGGATCTTCCGAACAGTGGGACAAGGGGTCTCAGAGTACCAAGAGACCAGGATCTTCCGAACAGTGGGACAAGGGGTCTCAGAATACCAAGAGACCAGGATCATCCGAGCTCTGGGACAAGGGGTCTCAGAGTACCAAGAGACCGGGATCTTCCGAACAGTGGGACAAGGGATCTCAGAGTACCAAGAGACCAGGATCTTCCGAGCACTGGGATAAGGGGTCACAGAGTACGAGGAGACCAGGATCTTCCGAGCACTGGGATAAGGGGTCTCAGAGTACGAAGAGACCAGGATCGTCCGAGCTCTGGGAGAAGGGGTCCCAGAGCACCAGAAGGCCGGGATCTTCGGATCTTTGGGACAAGGGATCTCAGAGTACCAGAAGACCCGGATCGCCCGACGTTTGGGAAAAGGGGTCTCAGAGTACCAAGAGACCAGGGTCCTCCGATCCTTGGGACAAGGGGTCTCAGAGTACCAAGAGGCCCGGCTCCTCTGATCCTTGGGACAAGGGGTCTCAGAGTACCAAGAGACCCGGATCATCCGACCCGTGGGAGAAGGGATCTCAGAACACGAAGAGACCAAGTTCCCAGAGCACGAAGAGACCCGGAGGTGTCTGGGAGGATAGTAGTCAGAATACAAAGAGGCCAGGTCATCATGACTCCTTGAATCTTCAGAAGACTAGACCGGAAAATAGTCAGCATACGTCTGTCAAAGAGAAGGACACGACGCATGGGAGCTTTCAGAGTCATCATCAGGGGTTCAAGGATAAGATAGACACGGGACACAATACGTTGGTGATTAGGTTACCCGGAAAGGAGCATGCTTCCAGCGAGGATGAAGGCATCAGGCCCAACAGGCCTAACAACCAAAGACCGTTCGAGTCGAGACCCGACGATAGCAAGACGGAGGATGCTGATTTGAGCGTACAGGAGTCTGTCCATAGACCGAGCGTTAATTCGGTCGACGAGAACGTAAGTATTCCAAACAGCCTATCTTTTCGTCTCCCGAATGACTTTGCGTTTTACCAAGTGCCATTTAAAGCAGTTAGATATTCGGTATCGCCAGATTTCTTCGTTGTAAAATAAAACTCACCCGGGTTCAAACGTAGCTGATCTTTTCGGCAGGAAACTGCCAAGGACCCTCATCCCAGCTTGAACTTCATTCATACGGAACGACCACAATGGGCAACCAAACCGGTATCCCCGAAACCCACGACGGAGTTCTCGAAACCGTATTTCTCGGTGAAAACGACCACCTATCGGCCAATCCCGATGAACAATCAGCCGGACACCAGGCCGAACTTCATCTCGAAACCCAATAGTTCGAGCACCGCCATGAAAACCACAACCACTGCCAGGCCGACGCACTTCAGTGGTCAGTCCACTACCAGGTATTCGACTATGTCCTTAAGTTATACTTAGTGCCTTGACCCAACCCCGAATTTCTTCCCGCATCTCCAATTTCCGTCGTGATTAATGGCTCCATCGTCGGAGCAACCGAAAGCCGATTTTCGAGCGCCAGCTTCAAGCTTTTCTTTCATTCTAGCGCAGCCGGATCCTTACCACAGACCTCTCACTGGCACGTGACCACAGAGCCGGTGTTCGTCACGAAGCAAAGACCATCCTCGTCCACAAAACCGATGGGTTCATCCGAGACGACTAAACCTCTGACAAGTAGTTCGCATTTCTGGTCGGAGAACAGCTGGTCGCCGCCGAGACCGTCCTTGAAGCCACACTGGACCGACAACCCTAGCCTCCTTCAGAACGGGCCCGAAGCGTTTCCACCGCGGCCGAGTTTCAAGCCGACAGAACCGCAAGAAGTACGTGTAGACACTTGTTCCTCGGATCTCGCGACCTGTTTGCTCAGCGTCCAAACATTTGTAACGGTTGGATAAGGGTTGACGGACACGTATTCGTCCTAGCGGAACTTCTTCCAACATGGCGGATCGATCGATCGTTTAAGTAATAATATCCAGACGATGGAATTGTTGTGTCTTCGAGTAACTCGAAGAACCACGTCGATCCACGTGGCCTCTGGCCGTAATCGCGAACAGTTGTTCCCTGTTCCAGAGACGTAATGCTTCCTCCTGTTATCTCGAAATCGGTTCCTCTCTGAGGAACACCTTTATCGCGTTATATCCTTCCTGTTTTATCACGGTACCCCGCGGTATTATTAGATTCTATAAGGTACTTGTTGCGAGATAAAAAGTAAGTTTCACCCTGTGAACGAGAACGACGTTCTGCCGCAGATTACTGTTAATCGCGACGAAGAAGCATTGGCTCGGCCTTCGATTCGATTACACAGGCCATTGAGCATCGCGTTACAAAGTGGAGAAACGACGAACCGGACGGGGAAATTAATAAATTGGAACCGCATCGGCTCGCTAATCCAGCACGTACGTTTCCTTTTCGCAGAACACGGAGTTCCACAAACCGCTTGGCGCAGCGCATTACATCACCACGTCCCACTTCGAGACCTCCGCCAGGCCCAGACCCACGAAGAAAACCACCACGTCCACGACTACGACCAGTACCACTACCACCACCACCACAACCAGCACCACTACCACCACGACCACCACGACCACCACGACCACTCCAAAACCCGACACGACTCTGTCCACGACCGAGGCGATCGCGAAGACCGGATCGGTGTTGACGGTGTCCGCCGCAACCGAGAGCAAGGGTATGCAGTGCGGAGTACCGCCCCTGTTTCCGCGACCAGAGACCAGGATCGTTGGAGGCAAGGACGCGCCGTTCGGTCGATGGCCTTGGCAGGTATCCGTCAGGCGCACCTCGTTCTTCGGCTTCTCGAGCACCCATCGCTGCGGTGGAGCGGTGTTGAACGAGAACTGGATCGCGACCGCGGGACACTGCGTGGACGAGTGAGTACCGTCCAAGTACTATGCTTAGACGCGTCGATTACGTGTAAGAAAACAGGAATACGCGGCTCTATGGAATAGCGGTGGAGAAAAAATGGCCGACTAAATAATCCCGAAGGCGAGCGCGAGAGGGATAGGCAAAAAGCGAACGGGCATGAAAAAGAATGAGTGTAAGAGAGGTGATCATGGAGAGAAGCGCGATCAGTGTACGTAATTGCTTCCTGTTATGATTACGCTGCTCGGACGTGAGTGAATGCAAATGCGCCTGCCCGGCGTCTAGAAAATGAACCTCGATTAACCCGAATACGGATCTCGACGTCTCACCTGGTCGCTTGGATAACGTGGCGAGCGTTAAAATGCAAAACGATTGAAACGTTCGCCGTCGATTCTGTTGCAGCCTGCTGACCTCGCAGATCCGGATCAGAGTGGGCGAATACGATTTTTCATCGGTGCAAGAGCGACTGCCGTACGTGGAACGCGGCGTGGCGAAGAAAGTGGTGCACCCGAAGTACAACTTCTTCACTTACGAGTACGACCTGGCGTTGGTTCGACTGGAGAGTTCGTTGACATTCGCGCCGCACATCTCGCCCATTTGTCTGCCGGCCACTGACGATCTATTGATCGGCGAAAACGCCACCGTCACCGGCTGGGGAAGGCTGAGCGAGGGTGGCACCCTGCCTTCCGTGTTGCAAGAGGTAAAACCGCGAGTCGCGGAGGATCGAGTGTCATCTGGCAACGATCCATTTTAGAGGCTCTTGACAGGTTTTAGCGGAAGATCGGTGATCTAGACGGATCCGTTCAGAGACGGATGATGGTACCGTTGACTTAGACGAGGGGTCGGTGTCTGTTTCAGGTTTCCGTGCCCATAGTGAGTAACGATAGATGTAAGTCAATGTTCCTGAGGGCTGGGAGACACGAGTTCATACCGGATATCTTCCTGTGCGCCGGATACGAGAGCGGTGGCCAAGATTCTTGTCAGGTACCTTTTCGAATTCGCTGTCTAGGTTTCCTTGCGCTACCGTGTCAGAAATACCAGTGAAAATTTCCAGATAGACGTTCACGTTCTGCTAAATTATGCGTATCCCTTTAAATATCGAGTTCACGTTGGAATCCGTGGAAAGTCGATATCCAGACAGACCCCGGTGGTATTCCGTAAGCCTCAGAAAGGCTCCTCACGTGTAATTTTCAGGGCGATTCGGGCGGTCCTCTGCAAGTAAGGGGGAAGGATGGTCGATACTTCCTCGCGGGCATCATATCCTGGGGAATCGGTTGCGCGGAGGCCAATCTGCCAGGGGTGTGCACGAGGATCTCGAAATTCGTCCCGTGGATCCTGAAGAACGTCACCTGACCGGGCTTCCGGTCGACCATTTGCCACTGGACCCTGTCGACAGCTTGACGAACCGACTCGCCGGAGTCTGAGCGTTCCGAACGTAACTCTGCACGAGTTTCTTCGATTTCTTCGAGGATTTCTTAACCGAGGGGTAACAAAGGGATCGCACGAATCACTGCCAAATACGTAAGACTTGTCGGGGAGGACGAGACCCCAGCGGAAAGCTTCTCGCTCGCCTCCGAGGTTGAAAAAGGGAGAAAGAACGGTAGAAAAGAAACGAGAGCTGTAATGATATATATTGGATAGAAGTTTGAGAAACTTCCATCTCGAAGACTGCCGCTCCGAAAGCGAAGCCAATCAAACACAGACAGCGCGAGACTGTGGAGATCGTTGCCGAACGATAAAGAAACTCGCGCACCCAGGACTGTATTTATATATACATATATAAATATAAGTAAGATAATAATATATTTCTCGTGGAACGAGCTGTTGGCTCGTCTGTCAGTTTTTGCCAGCCTGTACATGAATATATAAAAAGAAGAGAATTAAGTGGAAATAGCTATTGGCTTGACGTTGAAAAGGCCTCCAAAAAGGACGTTGAATAATTAAAAGATATTGGCAGTTTCAGCAGCAAGCCCGTAATTATACATTTATCTACCAAGTTGTATAGCGAATTCTGTAAAATGCTAAGTTCTTGCCCATCGCCTTTAGTAATCGTCTATTAATCGAAGAGCTAAATTAAACTCCTCTCCCTCCCTTCGACTCTCTCTTTCAAGATATATAACGATATTTATAAGTATGTCAAATAAACATATGTTTATTACTATGAGGGATTCGTGCATTTTGTTCCCAAGCAGGATCATATCGGGGTTTACAAAATTCGCGAATTGAGCGGGTCATTGACCCGGCCAGCGATCAGAGCCACCGAGGTCTCGGCGTCGACGATGAAGTAGAGGAACGGTTGGACAACCGTAAATGGCACTGGCCCAGCCCTCTCGAATAATCCATTACCTAGAGGAGAAGAAGCACTTTTAATATTTTCACCGATAATTATAAACGACAACTTGCTAAGACTCGATAAAATCGCTAATTACGAACTAGTCCAGTGCAAATGACGAAGAAGCTTCGGGATAATGGAGCAGCTAACGAGGAGTCTGTGATACGGAAAGAGAGAAAATGGAAATTAGAAATGAACAGCTGACGGATTAATGAAAACATTTACGAGCAGCATTCCTCGTAACGATTCAGGAATTCCTAGTAAGCATAATGGAGAACAACCGCAAGGTCTTTTTATTTATTTCCCTCGGTGAGTCAGCCGCAGGATATCAGCTATTAAATCCTAGCCAACTTTATAACAATACTGAGAATATTCCTCGATCGTGGCCGGCGTCAATTACGATATACCGGAAACCACGGCTCTTCGACGAGCAAACAACGAATTAGCAACGATTCGACATTTGCCAATCGGTCAGAGAAAAAATTCCTCGCTAATCTTTGCGTAACCATCCGATCAGATGCCAAACGGTATGGCCGTAAGACAAAAAGAAATAACCGTAATGAATCTATTTCCCTCGAAAACACCGACGTTGAACTGACCGCGATATTTATCCCATTCTCATCCTCTCATCGCCGTTGCCAGTCAACAACCTCGACAATGGAGAAAGAGAGAGAGAGAGAGAGAAAGAGAGATCATCGAGTTACGAATCCAACGATTCACCAATGACCAACGAGACCGTCCCTCGAGGAATCAATCGAATTCGACACGGTTCGCGTTCGCCCGACCTTCGCGAATGTTTTTAATCTACCGTGTGTCTGGAAAACACCGCCAAAACCCGTCCAATGTCCCGGTGAACTTTACGCTAGCCTAATCAGAGATCGATCGCGACGATAATATGCAGAGACCAGCGAGGAACACGACGACGAAGAGGAAGAGGGAACGGATCAGACACGCGCCAGTAGTAACGGCCAGGCATCGTCAGACGTTTGCTCGCAGCGCGTACACCACGTCAATGGCGAACGACGTGCACGAAGAATCGCAATTTCACCGGTAGGGATTGCGACAGAGCGATTGCCTGATCGTACCTTCTGCCAATCGCTGATCGTTCCCTCCCTTTGACGACGGTATCCTCTCTGGTTTTTGTTTGCACAGTAAATTCGTGACTCCGCGACATCCTTTGAGAGAAATAAAATAAAATGTAAAGTTCGCGGTAGATTTCGTGATAAAATTCGTGGTGGAATCGACGAGGTGGAAGACGTCGAGATTTGGACGTTCGACGTTACGAGGCGAAGGAGAAGTGCAGTATAGAACGTAGAGAGCAGAGAGTAGAGACCTGGATGGTAATATCGGTAATAGTCCCGACGAAGTGGAACGATCAACGGAGGATCGGTATAGGGCGACTCACGAGAGTGGGTTCTGTCGGGTTTCATGTAGTTCCTGATGTTCACCCCGATGCTCTGTTGCGCGTCCCTGGCGTACACGCCGAGGTCCGGTGTCATCGGCGAAAGATCGGCGGCTCTCGGCTCGAACACGTCCAGGATTCCCAGCTGCGAGGAAAATGAATTAAACGGCGGAGCAAAGAGGAGCAAAATAATTGGAGGTGAAATACGATTATTTAAAGAGCGATAAAAATGGCGATTCAGCGAGGGGGGGAAAAAACAAGGATCGCTAAGTAAAGCGATCCCATCTGGCCGCGTAGAGTCGTCCTATAAAACAAAAAGCTTCGACTTCGCTTAACTCGCGCGGCTCGAGCTGAACGACGTTTATTCAGAGGCACTAAAACTGCCGAGGGAATGCTCGACCGACGCCGGAATCGGCCATAAAACTCGCGAGCAGAACGTTACCCGCTCCAGAATTACGCCTATTAAACAATTCCCATTTTTCGCCGGCCGGTGTGTTTCGAATTGTCGTGAATTACGTGTCGTCGAGGAGGAGGCCGCGTGTGCCGATAGCTTCGCTTCGCGGAACACAGCCGTGACGAGAAACGGAAAGTGCACTCAAGATCTCGACTAACGCGATTAAGTAATTAGGCGCTTAATGGCCGAGACTAATGGCAAAATATCGAGCGGCGAGCACCGGCAAGCACGATTCGGCCAGGTTTCGAGAGTCGTTCTCTGGAATGGTCCTAGTCGAATTCGTCGACGATCCGGGCTTGGCCCAGAGGAAGCAAATTCGTTGGCTTTTGACAGACGTTAGCGTTCGTACCCTTTGCAGGAAGGACGTCAAGGTGACGAACCCGCGCAACATGAAGGAGGGAATGGTGGCCCTGACCCAAGTGGACTGTAACTGCTTCCGCAACAGTCTCAACGACTTCCCGCCGAGATCCCTGGCCAGTCGATACGTGTCCCTTCTGTCCGTCGCCATCATCAGGATGATGTTGTATCTCGGGTCCTGCAATCGGAGACACGCTTTCACACCGTGGTACGGTCTCGCCCTTGAAGAGCGGCTGTAGAAATTACGATAACGGCATTTCCAAGAGCTTTTCGTGGAACGACGGTTCTTACGTCGAGCGGAAACTCAAGGGCGACCGCGTGCAACGATGGGAAATAGGCAAAAGGCAGAACGGCGAAGTATCTGGATGCCGTGACGGAGGAGACGTCGCAGCCGTTCACTAGGAACGATATCTCCGTCGAGTCTCTGACGGATGCTTCGTTCAGGCTCGGGGAAAAAGGCTTCCAGATACCCAGGTCCTGCATCCAGATCCCCTCGTCTGAAATCCAGAAGATGAAGCGTAGAAACAGCACGAAGATAGTAAAAAGTTATTTCTAATTAATATTCTCCTACTTGTCAAGATATTGCATTCCATTATTTGGATCGTCGTATATATTTCAAAACGATTATATAAAAATATAATATAAGCTAGAGTTTACAAGAACGAAGAGGATAGAAACGGACACCTCGAAACGAATAGCCAAACTATGCCAAGCTATATCCTAAATCGGTCCGAGCTCGAAAGCCTCGGGTCCGTGTGTTACCTCATTTTTCACGGATCTGACATAATAATCCGAGAGAATTCGACGAAATTCATCAACGCTCTGACCAGGACCTTTCATCGTTCGTTTTAATCATCTCCCGAGACGTTCTCCTCCACGTGCGTTAGCCATCGGTCAATCACACCGCGGTGTGTAGAATAAAAAAGCTGAGAAAAAACAGCACTATACCTGGATAGCTAGAAAAGAATCCCCTAGGGCTCCTGTAGCTACGTTTCCTTCGATTCATCATCGTGGCTGAGGATACAGTGGTCAGCTGTCCAGTCGACCCGATTTCACCTGTAGCAACGGTCGTGACTGGCAAATCGGTAGATCCCATCTCGTTCGAGATAGACTGATTGTTCGCCGAGTCCGTTGAAACGGTATTCTCGTCGGCAGGTGGTCCATCCGTGGGTCCAATGGACGTCTGATCCGCCTGTGTCGGGATCGTCGAACTCGTGGAGGCTTCCGTGACGTTGACTGGTGGCGTTACCGTCGTTTCCACGGATGACACGACGACGACGGTGGTTCCACTGGTCGTTGACGAGGTTGTCGACATGGTCGTTGACTCCGGGACGGGTTCGGTCACGGATTCGATCCGTGTAACGATGGTAGTCGGTTCCGGGCTTGCCTCCGTGAACGTGGTGGACATAGAAGGCTGCGAAGCGGTGGTAGGTGGAGTAGGAACGATGGCGACGCTCGTCAAAGTTGGCGGAGTACTCGGGGTACTTTCGGTACTCGGGGACTGAACGGTCGTAATGACAGGCATCGTTGTAGGTGGAACAGGGCTCGTGGTAGTTTGTAATCCCTCTGTCGAGGTTGTCGTGGAGACCGTAGGCGTAGTAGTAGGACTCGTGGGTGTAGTAGACGCGATCGTCTGGGTAGATGAAGTTGTAATTGAACTAGGCAAGGTAGTAGCAGCAGCTTTGGTACCGCCCATTGAAACTGCGCCGGCAGGAGTAGTTTCTGTCAATCTATCTTGCTCGTCTATCGTGCTCAAAGTCATTCCGAGTAGCTCTACCGAGGGTGTAGTCGACATAGGTATCTCGCTCGTTCTTTCGGTACTCTGTTCGCTTTGCGTGGTAACAGTCTGCGTGGTAGGAATTTGCGCGGTGGTAGTAGGCATGGTAGCAGTTTGCACGGTGGTCTCATCGGGAACTGACGTCGTGACTTCCGTCGTCGGCTGTTCAGTCACCCCGCTAGTCGTGGTCTCGGGCACCGACGTGGTTTCGTTCGTGTCCTCCTCGGGGATGGACAGGTCGAAGCCGTAGAACCTCAGGATGTCCTCGTACTCTGGCCTGAGCTTGGTGTTCTCGTGATTGAGCGTGAGGCCGCCGAGGAACCCGTCCGCGTTCAGATACGTCTTCGAAATGCAGAAATAATTACTCCGGACCCGTCACGGATCGTCGATCTTTACTCGGTTACGAAACTCGTTGGAAAAGAGCGATCGACCGAGGGAGAAACCGGCACTTAGAGAAGAGAAATTACGCGTTCAAGCCTCAAATGAACCGTCGTCGTGGCAAATATTCCGTGTCCCTTTTCCGGCTAATCGCTCTCCACCGACCCATTACGCAACGCCGAACGATTTAACCAAGCTCCAACGTATCCCGCGCGATTCCCCCCGTGCCTCTTACCCTCAATCTGCGATGGATATCGCGAAAACCGATCCTGGTGATGTCTCGATCTCGCGGCAGACCAAGAGCATCAGCGATCTGCTGTCTCCCTCTGCCAGCCGAGCCCTCGTAGAGTGCGGCCAGGACGAAGCCAACCCCCGTCGGCGAGAATGCCACGTTCCCGTGGGCCGTGTACTGCTGCAGAATCCGCACGCCTAGGTCGTTAATAACGTCCGTGATGATGTCGACCGGCCGATGCGGAACCGGTTGATACCAGCCGTCGAATCCCACGTTGTCGTAGCCGTGGACAAGCACGGACAACACTGTTGGAATATTTTCGTCAAAAAATCATCGAATCTCAAGGATCTCCGGTTAACCGTGAATCAAAGGAAATTCCTCCTTTGCCGATCTCCGACTCGCGATACCTCTCCGCGTCCACGTCAAAGTACGATCCCTCGAATCCCTCGAAACTCACGATTCGTCTTCTAAATCCTGAGGAATCGGGGCACGCGAATCTCTACGCGTTTGGAGAACCGTGCATTTGGAGGATAATTAACGTCGACGTCGAGGAAAACGCTGGCGAAAACGAAGGTAGCCGAAGAGAGTAAAAAGGAATCGGCATACTCACGCTGCAGCAGGATCAGCCAGGATATCCGCGCGCCCATATTAATCGCGACTGGTTGCTGGATCACTGGCGGACGAGGAGCACAGGTCGACTGTCTGCGAGCATGGACAACGCGTTCCTCGCCGATTCTCTCTCGATTCACGAAAGGAAGCGCGACACGGTGGCGCGGAAACGGCCGGTAGGCAGCTCTATTAGGATTAGTCTTAGTCGTCCGCTCTCTACGTCGGAACTGGCTCGCGGATGGTGCACGCCGCCCGCTCGAGCCTCTGCCGGCCACTCTGGGATTTTTTAAACGGCAAGGTCGTCAGGTAGATAAACCCGTGTCTATGTACGTCGTCATATCGCGCGCTCGCTCTTCTCCTTCCCCCTCGCGGAACCGAGAACCGGGGTTCCAGCTTCCCTAGAGGATGCGAGTAGTAGTAGTAGTAGTAGTAGTAGTAGTAGAAGTGGTAGTAGTAGGAAGCGGAGGAGGTGGAAAAGGAGGCGAATTATTCAGAGAATCGTGGCGAATTCGTTGCTCGAAACCTCGCCATGGTCTTCCATTCGAAGAACACCAGACTTTCTGCAAATTTTATCGATCCACCGTGAAGTAGAATTTCGAGGGTTTGCGATTGGAATTCCAATTTGCTTCGAAAGCTAACGTGTCGTCTAAAAGATTTGGGATTTTCGTTATCAACGGATCCCGATCGAGAAGGTTTACCGTGCTCGATGTAACCCAAAACTCGAGACCTTTCCTCGAATTCTGGAAATTTCCCGGATTGATAATCCCAGTTGCGAATCGCAGGTGAAGAGGCTCCAGGTCGGAATCCTAATTTGCCTTGAAGTTTAAGATATCGTCGGGAGGATTTTGTTATCAACGAATTTCAATCGCGAGAGATAAGGAGCGGGTCGAGCGAAGTAACGCAAAACCCGAGACCTTTCCTCACATTCGCGTTCGCACACTTGCAACCGCCATTCTTCTCCGAGTTTGATCTTAATAAAGCGACTAGTTGTGGCAACTTCCAGGGTAACGTAACAGGGAGCAACTGAATCATACGCGTCATAAGTCTTGCTCAATGTTGGGGTCGTTACTGCTCACAATGCGATAAACCTTGTTAGGCGCGAAGTCTTCCAACGAAATTAACGACTCGACGAAACAATGAAGGAATCAGCGAGGTGTCTGCGCGAAGAGAGCGTCAGCCAGGAACCGTCTGTTTAATTTTGGCAAGAAATTTCTGACCCCGCGATTTCATTCGCGCAATTTCGACTCGGTCGAATCGGCTGCTCTCGTGATTGCGATACGATTATGGTATTATAATTTGAACGATGTCGAAGTTGTTAGTCTTTTGAATGAATCTTTATTGCTCATACGGTACAGAATAATAGCAGCTGCCGAGTACAATTTCTTAAGATTAACCGCGTAGATAGTATCCACGAAACGTTGCCACCGCTCTCGTGCAACTAACGATAAAAAGGATGCCTCGGTCATGGAAAGGGCCGAACGTTTTCGACTTCGAACGTTGCGTGGATATCCACGCAATATCCGGTGCCGTCCATTACCCGCAAATTAGCCGTTCGTGATGGTAATTGTAATGCAGCATAAACGTCCGCGGGCCATTGGCCGCCATTTTATTGGCGAGAATCATTTCGCCTGCTAGAGCGAACTGTCGAGAAAAATGGTCCAACGGCTTCCGATTTATTTCTCCATTTACTTCTCCATTTATTTCTCCATTTATTTCTCCATTTGTTTCTCCATTTATAGCCCCATTCCAGCATTGACGATTCCTCTGAACGCAAGTACGTGGTCGAGAGGAAAGAATTGGAGAAAATCGCGGTCTCGGGTTGAGCAAGGATTCTAGGTCTTCCGGTTGCGTCGACGATTCGTGCCAAGTACGATTTTTTGTCGATCAAGAAAAAAGGCAAAACGCGGTAATTATCGGGAGAAAAAATGGCGATCCGCAGAAGAGAGAATGGTAATGCGTGCGATTGAACTCATTGCGTGGGACCGGTTGGTTTTTTCCAGGAGAAATCGCGTCCATGTTGGGACACCATGTTGAGAAGAGGGAAAGGTATTAGCATAACTATACCCGTCCCGAGATGAGATTTACGGGACGAAGGGTCGTATTAATTTGCGTTCCTTGGATGTCTTGCGCCTGTGACAGTAGAACTCGCAGAAGAGGAAGAGGAAAGCCAACGTGATGCCTGAAATAACGAAGGAATTTAATATTGTTCCTTAATTAATACCTCGACTACGTTCCTGACAAACGGAAGATATTACCTATGAATAAGACGAAAAATATCCCCTGCATGTCAGCGACGTTCACTTTCCGTTTGTTCACCGTCTGGCTATTCCCCGGCACTTCCCAGCACTTGTCTTTCACCGGCATCCTCTCGGAGATCCACTTGTTCATCAATCCGGACTCGAGCATTCGATGCAATCTGCGCCGATTCACGGAATTCGAATTCGAGAGACTGGAAATTAATATGGCGACTCGCAGCCGCCATAAATCAACGGGCAACTTACTCCGCGTTAATGACAGACAAGTAAGGGCTGCCGTGTGGGGCGATCATCGCGATGGGCTCGTCCAGGAACTCGTCCATGCTGAGAGAAAAATGGCAGCCTCCGGACAGCAACAGATCCTTCCTCATCAAGAACCTATTTCACGGACCCGTTAATTTCCGCGGAATTCCGGATGAATTTGACTCGAAGGATACCTGAGGGAACTCCTCCAGTCGATCAGAGCGTGTCTCCCTTCCTTTACGCGTTCCACCAGCCTCTCTTCCTCCGTGTCGTTATGCCTCTCAGCGCGCGAGAGTAGAACGTGGTACTTAGACTCGTTCGCGTTCTGCAGGTACATCTCGAGGAAACTACCGTTCGGGAAGCCCCAGGTGATCCTGTCCTTCCTCGCGATCAGTTCCTCCACCGTCAGGATAGACACGTCCATTCGAGGAAAAGTGAGGAAGGCGACCAGATTTCCGGAGTACGTAGCCACCAGGACCATCACGACCAGCCACCAGATACCGATCAGTATGCGAGCGCTGTCAGATTGCGGCAGATACATTCCCCCTGGAATTTTTTCAGGTCGACGGTGTGTGATGATCCTCTTCGTACTTGAGTCGTTGAATTCTAATTAGTCGACGGATTGGGGATGGGGAAGGTGTCTGGCTAACGGTTCCAGGCTCGGAGAATTTAAACGCGAGAGATTTCCGCCATCTCGTAGTAACATCCATCATGGCTACCGATCGGTACCTATCGATTAACCTTTATCCCCGTCTCGTCGTTGGCTTTGCTAAAGTGTCCGTGCAATTGGTATCTCGATACCGTACCGTTCTACAGAGCGACGCAAAAGTAACGCAATTTTAAATTGCTTTTCGACTAATCGGAGCCTGTCTAGTCAAAATTCTGCCAATTTCGTGTTGCACGCGAGCCACTTTTGCGTCAGCCTGTATACCCCGGGAAATAAAATTTAAAGACGATAAATTCGCGGCATTAGGGACGATGATCGGTAGCGAAATGATCAGCGGAGCAGGGCAAGTTCGCATCGCGTGAACGAAAGAGAAATAGAGGCAGTTTACGGGATAATAAAATCGTACCTTGTTGAAGAAGCGCCCCGTACACGTACCATACACACTGCCAGGAGGAGTTGAGGCCCGAGGTCTTGGTGCTGTACGGGCTGTACTTGTGAACCAGGTACAAGATCGGACCCATTATGATAATGGATACGGCCAGACAGGCCCACGTCTAAAAGGCAGTCGGAGCGTTAGAGGAATGCCAGCGCGAAACATCCGAACTGAACGACGACAATCTTTATAGTTCTGTCATTATGCGCTATTACGCAGCGGAATGCCGAAACATTAGCGAACCCTTTTAGAACAAGCACAGTGGTATCTCTCCGCGATCGTTGTGTAACTACATCGATTCGTTTCTGTCACTGTTCACCCGGCCAAACCTCGCTGGGAATCGTGCTCGCTTTGTCTCTTCGGTTTTATCCTCGAGTTATTTCCAAGGCAAATTTGCTGGGCTAATTTGCGGCAATTACTCGAGGATTCGGTAGAGGGTCGTCGTTAAGGGAAAAATCGCCAGAAACGAACCTCCTTCCTGAAGGGGGACGCGAACAAGAGGGCTCTGGATAGCTGTTTAGGCCTGGAAGTTAAGAAGCTATAGGTCTGCACGAAGATTGGTACGGTGAAATTGAACGTGTCCCTCGCACATTCGTTCACGGTGAACGCGCAGGCAGCCAGGAGGACCTTTTTCTCGCGCACCAAATCGATCACTTCCTGCGGTACTTTCCTCGTGGTAGACATGGTCATTTCTTTAATTTTCTACGAAGAGGATCGATTGACGAACGAGGCAGGCGGAGCAGAAAGAAATGCGTGCGTGGAAATTCTTACCTCGCCGAGCTTGGCGAACCGAGAGGTATTCCAAGACTTCGAACTTCGACTCACTTCCGGCGTAATCACCGTGTACGTAAAGTTCAGTTTCGTGGCGAGGTAGCTGATCGCGTCGAACACCAAACCCTCGTACGACTTCACGCCTGCTTTGCTTACGGAAATTATCTGCCACGGTGGATTCTAAAATAACATACTTTTCTGGCGAATTAATAAATTTCGATCTGGACGGTGAAAATTTTAAGTAAACAGCTGGTCGAGTTTCGAGTAAAAATTCGAGAGGTGAGAAGATAGGTTTCTTAATTAGAGTTATACCCAACGTGCTCGAAAATTAGTCAAAATTTTTCGCGATCGTTTCTCCACTAGTTTACCCACGTGATAAGTCGCGATCGGTAGATTAATGCCCCTGAATCCATGCGCAATGTGAGGAAAAACCACGTCCGTGAGGTTCACGCCGAAACGAGGTGTCCACGTGCCTATATCCAACAGGTGTGCCACATTTTTCCCGTGGGCAAAGAAATTTCCCCAGGTTATGGACGACGAGAACCTCCATAGGAGACATCGTCCACAGTCGTTTTCCGAGGTAAAAGCATCTTGGGAAAGGTATATCTGGCGGAAACACGGTTTGTTCGATTCAACTCCAACTATAACGCGTCTCGTTATAAACTCGTGAACAATTTACGAACTCTGATGTTCCTCAGGATCTCCTTTTGTCTCTCTCGTTTCGTCAGCCTGATCACGTCGAAATTCTCTTCCTCTAGCCTCTTGAACAAATCGATCTCGTTCGTCAGCGAGTACTCTACAGCTTTCACCAACGCTTGGCTCAATTTCTTCAGATAACACATCGCCTTCACCTGAAAACGGAATTTTTCAACGATTAATCATGATACGTGGAAGAAATCACGTGGAAGGGTTGCTCAATTTTCCTGCAGAAACTGCCTTGTTCTAATATACGAGAACAACACGATACCTATTTTTCACAGTGAAACAAAGGTCTGCGATAAATGAAGCGACCCCAGTGGCTAATTGTCTGAAAACACTCGATCATTACTTCGTAGAAACCGTCCAGGCTGGACGCGTTGTACATGAAGGCCACGTTTCCACCTTCTGCCAGCAGATCGACGAACGTCGTCATGTTGGTCAGATTCTGCGTCGCGCTGTCGGTGATCACGTACAGCCATTGGCTAGCTGGATGGACCATCTTCAGGGACCTTGCCTTTAAAGAAAAATCTCGTAGGAAATTTCCTTGGACCTTGTCGGTTATCTATCGCCATAAATCTGAAATAAATACGAGATCCGTAGGAGAAGAAGACTCTCACCACACCCATCACGTCCGCGACCATGTCTACGGTGGCGATCACTAAAAAGCAATGTCCCAACTGATCCACGTGGAAGTTGTGCAGCACCTTCTTCACCGAGTTCCACCTCTCGTTCTCGGTTTCCTCGTGTTTCAACGTGAAAATCGACCTGGAGATGAGGTTCAATCGCTTGTTCGGCAGCCTGTCCGATATGGCCCTCATCACGCGGCTGATCGTGTCCCTGTCTGAAACGAGTCGTGAACACGAACCGGATTAGATAAAAGGATTCACGTGTCGTTATCGCTGCTACTAGCCGTCCTTATCACCGAACGTATCGTCGTGAAGGATGTTGACCACGTTCCAGGACAGAATATTCATCATCCTTAAGTCAAGGAAAATCTGTGACAACTCTTCACCCGGCACTATCAGTGGCACGCTCATGCCATCCGTGTCTGGGATTCGAGGACAGTCTGGATCTTGAAACGGGAAACTTACCTCTAATGTTTCTTTTCTTTTTCTCTCCCCTTTCCTCTATACTCATAGAAATCTGTGTACCTGTTACGGCGAGGTGTATCAGCTCCTCCTTCCGCGCGATCTCGTGTAGACGCCATGTTTGATAACACGTCGCGACGGAGAGAAGAATCGTGTAGTCTGGCAGCGTGGATCAAAAGATAACGGGGGTTAACGGATGATCGAGGCTATAAACGGTTGTATTTAAAGCTATTACGTGGATTTACCTTGTCGTAGATCGACATTCGCGTCACGAAAGACGCGAACTCCGATACCACCAACGCGCATCTCTCTCCTCACGATGTCCGTGATCAGATCGTGCACCACCCCCACGGTTTTCCTGTGCTCCTCTTTGTCACCGAAGAGGCCTTTGTCGATGACGACAGCTGTTGACAGAAATTCTTCGTTTCACCGAACGTCGAACTTGACTCCGCGTCGCCTCCGTCTAAGGGTAGCAACGCTCGTGACGAGGCAGGGAATTTTATAATTTTTCTGCTTTGTCCTTGAAAAAGGAAAATTTCAGTCGTACCCATAGTCGCGTTCATGGAAATCAGAGACGGAAAATCGTTGAACGTGTTCCCATAGTTGACACACCAGAGCAGCAACAGAACCGATATCATTTCTATTGACAAACTGAAATAACAGCGCGTCGTATTGTTCGCACGATATATAACCGAGGACACCTGTGAATAATTTATCACTTCATTAGTTTAGCCCATCCGTTATTACAAGCCAAGTTGAGCGCGATCACGAGCCGTATGCCGGCCAAGCCTAATGCAACTCAATGCACCGCGAATCACGGGAAAGGTCAGTTCTTTAATAACTAACCACCGAACGATCGAACCCCCGTGAAATTGAAACGGGACATTGTTTAGCCTAGTTGCGTGCGCTACCGAGCTTATCGTGAAATTCAACCTGTGCTTTTAAATGTTATAATATTCGAGGAAACGCGAGCTTCCCTCCGGAGCGAGAGATGCAAACAAAATAATGCGATTAACGAAGCAAGGTACGGCCCTGGGTATGACTAAACGCGGGGGGAAGGGGCGGGGGTGACACGGGTGGAATACGAGGAGCATTGAAATTCACGGGTTACGATGCGATTTAATTTCGAATATTTCCCAGGGAGCAGTTTCGATTTGCTCGCATAGAAAGCCGCATCGACGAGTAATGTTATTACCTCGTTCGCGCGCGCGTTTGTCACACTGGCAGGAGACAATTGTATTGTTTCATATCGGCTGGTGTATCACTTCCGTGTAGCGAAACCAGAGATAAAGACTAGTGGCGTCGGTTGCATTATTCCAACCTACGCGTTGTCGTCTCTAATAGGAAAAATCATCCATCGCTCGGTGATTTTATTCTTCGTTGTAGAAACGTTTCAGATTCCTTTCTTCGATGTCGTTCTTTGTTCCACTTTCGACTCGATGACTACGCGCCGCGTACTATGTGTTACATACTCGGGATAATAATCGTAGGTACTTACTTTGAATATTTTCACTTTGAACAACGTTCCTTGGTTTTCATGATACATGGGATAATATTGCGAATTAAGGGACTGATAATCGAACGTGGAAAGAAATGTATTATTGTCGCTTAAAAACGGAAATCAGTGTGTCGCAACGCTTATCTACGGTTAAGTCTCGCGTATAGAAAGAAAGCAAACAAGCACGATTTAAATCACCTCCCGTCTTGCTGGCATTGATTACACTCTGGAATTCCAGACGTCAGACCGAATGAAATAGCTCGAGTATAATGTATGGCGTGATCCGTGATAAAAATTTGGTGCAAACAAAGTTAGTAGTTGTCGAGTTGAAATAACAGAAGACGAAAAGACGCAAGAGTTATCTCTCGGAATCGTCCGCGCTCCTACGTCCGTTCGTGACAATTCGGGCGACATCGTACGGACGGAGGACGTGCATGCCTCTATTACTCGACAGTTGGCCCCGAATGTGTCGGGTACCATGCAAGAACTCGGCGATCGTGTACGTATA